TGATTTCCTACTGTTAAGAAATGAATATGATAGTTATCAAGGTTGTTTTGATGACCCATAACCTATCTGATGCAGTGATACATAAACCAGCCATTACATATGAATTGTTGCTTTTTCAATGCGTTTTATCGTATTAAGGTGTACATGTCAAAAGTGAGAACCAGCCATTTACATGACCGGCTCTTCTAATATGCTTTTAGGATTCCATTCTTGTTACTTTTGCTACAGCAGTGATCGACGGCATTAGACAGACTCCTTGTCGGATCCAACCGCGTGATGTTTACATCCAGTGTGTGATACAGATCAATTAATTTTTTTTTTTTTATTTCCCATCGTTGCCTCCGCCTGCTACAGTGACCGGGGGTGTTAATTATAACTGAACATACATGTTGTTTTTTTTTTATACCACGATAAGTGACCAGTTAACTTGGGATAAACATTCGTGGGCACGCATTATGCGGTCACATAGGTTGTAAACTGTGCAACCGAACTCTAAACGCCTGCGAAAGGCATTTGCCAAAAAATCAAGCTTTATCGCGAATGTGTGGACTTCAGGACTGTACAAAGGCAGATCTTTAGGTCGTGGTTGAATTAATAATAGCTCTTTATTTACGGAGAAGAGCTTTGCATTCTTCTTGAGGCTAATCGCGTCTAGTATGAGTAGTATTTTCAAAATAAAACCGTTTATTACTGAGAGAACATGCTAGCTTTGCGGTATTTATGAATAACATCAATGAGGAAATGTTAGTATTACGGATTCAACCTGAAATGGCTTAGAACAGTACAGAACGAATACCTGATTACTGACTTTCTTACTTCTCTGTGCTCGGTGTTTATGTTAACCGATGGTCATAGGAATTGTCGTAGTAGAAGTTACCAGAATTCCAAAGAGTAGATTTTCGTGCGGTCACAGCCGAGCTATTCTTGGACTTTGTATTCCACAATTTTTTTTTTGTAGGCAGCATCATAAATTAATGATCAACTTCCGTCGCTAGTATTTTTGTCACAAGAATCTATTTTGGTCCACAGTGAGCGCGAGTCTGATGCAAAAGGAAACTCAAATGGAACGAACAAAAGTGTTCGTTAATGGACACAATACCAAAAAACTACGAGCTTTGTGCCAGAAAAGGAAACTTTTCATGATAGAAGTTAAGGAGGAATTTTCGTTTCGAAAAGTAGAGTCGATTGTTTAATCAGCCTCCACCCGTCCCACTCGCGGTGGAACATACCCCATAGTACGCTAAAAATAGGCCTACGGGTCGTTAAATCAGCGCCGCGAGAGAGCATAGTATACCTGCTTCAAATGAAAATTTAATTTTCTGAGGTTTATTTAGTTTTTAAAGGACCACGGCCAGGCTTTGGTACAACAGGAAATCGCATTCGATGCTTTGTGTGGACAGCGTAGGATATCTGGAGTACACCGGAAGCTCATGATGAACTTTGCTGATAAGCTAAGCGACTTTGAGTTCGTCCCCACGCAGGGAAACTTGTCTGATTACGTGTGACCGAAGGCAAATATTTTAAGACACGCGTATGGACGCAATAAAGTTTTTGGGCTCTATCGATCCGGAAAGCTCCAAAATTTGTAGCTTTTTGAAATTTGAAATGTATCCAAAGGGCGATGAATTATAAAAACTGCGTTTATGTAAAATTATTTAGTGGCTTGACTTGGGTAGTGAGTTGGTGCTACAGGGGTACTACAAGTAGTGGAAGGATTTATTTGATAAACCAGGTTGGTTAAAAAATATTAGAAAGACGTGTGTCGTGATGTGGAGCTGCTATCTAACTAAATTACAGAAAAATTTTTAATTATTACTTAACAGTTTGGGAAGAGTCTGTCTTTGGCGTCCTTTAGAATAGTATATGATCTTGTCATGGGTTTAGTGTTAAAGAACAGTCTGTGTGCTGACAAGCAATCACAAATGGTTCAAATTTACTGTGTTGAGTCACCTAAGTTTGGGACGTGTTAATGGGTGTTAGGCACGTACATCCCTCCTGATCTTGTAAAAACTGCATGATGCATAACTGGAAAGATTAAAAATTCTGGTATCCACTACAAAATAATTGGATTAGTTGACTTAACTGAACACAACGCGGCAGTCAAAGCTATTATATAGTCACGTTGCGATCCTCTTAAGAAAGCTCTCTTAACCTTTCGGCAGGAGCCAAGAACTTTTTGGATAACAACTTGAGAAGAAGACGCGGGAATATACCGCTGTCAGCTTTTCTCCCCAAAACTTTACGCCAGCGGGCCACTCGTCCATGCCTTGTCCATTCGTCTTCATATTTCATCGTTAGACGTACTAAGTAGCCATCGTATTGTATATCAGTAGTTAGTTTGTATTTGTATTTGATCATTATCCCTCTACACAAACTTCCGAAAGGGCGGAAGATTAATTCATCTGAGCCTTTTTCTTCCGCCGGCGTTAACTGCTACTGATCGTGCTTCATCGAATGATAGGAAAACTCACCTTGAAAATCACGTATCATGAGGAGAAAATTCATATCAAAATGTGTATTCGAAATTCTCGACGTAGATCTCCACAAAACCTCTTTAACCAAAAGCTGTTGAGCGTTTCAAGTGTTCACGTATATTTCCGTTTTCCAAATTTTAGTCATTCGAAGGGAAGGGAGTATAATCTCAGATAAAATTTCCTTCGCGTGCTTGATACCATCGCAGAAGACGTGATCCTTTGTAGAAGCAGAACAACGCCGCGCCTTCTCTGTGTGTGGGTGTACGAATCGTAAGACCTCCCTTCCCGTAACTGATATTTAGGATGTGTTTCAGACTCAATGTAAAGCGGATTTCCTAACGAGCCTGCTCGCTCTTTCTTAACTTATCTCGAGCAATCAGTGTTAAATTAAAATGCTTACCGTTTCCCTAAGACTCAGGAAATCTTTTTTTTTTACCATTTTAGGCTGTTGTGGCATTGTTAATAGGTGAGCCAGCTATAAAGCGCAAAGAACATTTTGCCGCTTTCCATTTTTTTTGTTTACTTTGTGCTATGTCTGAACTGGATGAGCGTGGGGAAGCCGATAAATTACGTGTTAGGTCGATGTGGAAAACTACTTCGAGTTGATTCAGATAAACCGACCTTGGGGCTTCAGATTTTTAGATTTTATTTTTCCCCAGAAATTCATACTAATTGAAGAATGTTTAAAAAAAAACTGCTCAAGTTATATTCAATAGCAAATTATACCTTACAGAAATAAGGCCTTTTCTTTGGCTTTGCTTCCATTCTTAGGAACAGGGGATGTCACATTTACTTATCATCTCGTGACCGCAAGGCAATTTAGATGAACAGACACCAATGTTTTCATCTTAATGAAAAATGCGAATGCTGCTTCAAAATTTCAGAAGCTAATGGAGTTTTGGATGTTTCTTATCATAAAAAATATATCAAAAATTATAATCCGGCTTCCCCCTGACGGCCAATCTCAGAAGCTATCACCTTATTTTCACTTTTTCTTTCTCTTCTTCACTTTCCTCAGATTCTCTCTTTTTTTCATTTCTACCGTTTGCATGTCAAGAAAAGGAGTTACTAAAGAGGCTGTTTCCTAGTTCGTGGACTTAATAAGCACCTGCCGCAAACGGGTTAATAAACTTGCCGGTTGAAAAAATAATCCATTCTCTCTTCAAATAGTCCGCTCGCTATGATTGGTTAAGTACCCATCTGATATGGAAACGGGAAATTATTTCGAGCCATTGTGTCTCTTAGAAGTCATAAGTAGCATAACAAGGCTTTCTTTCCCTTCTTGCACGTGGAGTTAGCACAACACTCTTGAAAATTGCAGCTGCAGGCACACTGGCCTATAGAGCGGCGGGTTTGTTTCTGCAGCTTGTGTCTTTCTCCAAGACTTCAAGTGATTTTGCTAAAACAGTTTAGAAGCATGCAACGTCTTGCTTTGTGATAGAGCGTGGGAAGAAATATTCTAATAACATTTGAGAAACTTTGTAGCCTGAATTCACACTAAACAAATACATAGTGTGGGGATGAAAATTAACTCTTGAAATTCTACTGAAATAGGTCGCCAGTTTGTGTTTCCAGGGGCGTAGCATCCGTATGTCCACTTGAGCTCTGTAGTGCACTTTTGAATTGGCCGAAATTTTAAGTTATTTGGTAAAGTTTTACTTTATTGGTCATGAACTGCCACGACTGATTCTTGGGCATAGATAAACAACAATCCACCACGAAACTACTCACACCTGCTTAAAATTTTCTTTCCTCGAGGTCAACCACTCGAATAATTGCGCGAACTGTATTTTAGGAGTCCCAAACGCCGCTCCAATTTTTTCTTTTCTTCTTGGGCAAGACACACTAAATTAATTAGTAACTATACCAAACGAATGACAAGAATAACCAATAGCAGCTGGAAACCCAAAAGGGAAAGGTGCAAACAGGGCACCCAAGGGAGAGAAAATTTGAAAATATCAAAATATAGCCGAACTAATATTTAATCTGAAAATGGTTCTATGGACAATCTTGTGAGATAGACCACGAACAAACCAGGTCTACATCAAAAAATCTAAAATTGATCTGTTGTGTTTCAATTTCCAGAAAGCTGGACCTTCAGAGCTTTCGACGCAAAGGCATTGCTTAAAGCTTATTGTAACCATTTTGCTTTAGGAAAGGTTATTGAAAGCTTCACTTAATTTTGGCTCTTTTCGGTGTACATCGTATGAGGGAAAGTTAGAGATGAAAGATTGTTTTTTTTTTTTCGTGCAACTCTTCCAGGATTTTTATTACGCCAGAAAACAAACCTATAGATCTTCCCTTGTTTGCTGAAGTCGAACTGATAGTTTAGAACTTAAAGGAAAGCAACATTTTTTCCTTCCCCCTGGGGAAGGTTATTTTCCAAAGCTATCAAATACTATCCCTTACAAAAATTTTAGAACACAAGTTATCAACTGGGAAACATCCCGTATTTCTGAATGGCGACACTTGGTTTCAGCATATATACTGGAAATCGAGTGCACCTAATTTATGCACACCCAGTCTTGAGAGGCGAGGTGTGGTTGCAGATTTGGTGGCGTTTGGATAATACGCTGTAAAATTGGCTACTTCTTCTGCATTACAGGTAAATTTAACAATTAAAACTCCTTGTGATTAAGATACGGGAGCCGTTTTTTTACAGGATCGGAAATACATCCGATCGATGTTTACCTTGGCAGCCAATTCATAGTAATGTTTTATGGCTCGTGCTACGCCATGTTCAATTTCAAAAGGTTTCTGGATAGACGGAAAGATTTCTTTGAAAATGCAGCTTATCTTCGCGATGTCCCTCTTTTTAGAACCTGGCCGGGCTAGTTAAAAAGCCAGAACTTCAGTAATGGTTTTCATGTAAGTTGCGAAGGTTAAATCTCTGAGACTGAAGTCTATGGAGAGCATACGTTTGATACTTTGCTTAGCATCTGCATTTAGTGTGATGTCTACCGACTACGGTGTAGGGGTTTACATGTCTTGAATTAGTTTTCCCGCTGAGCCAATATATTTAAACTTTTACTCAACCTTTGCTGATTGCTTATTTGGATGAGAGCTTTTGTAGCTGATACATAAGTTTGTTTTCTCTGAATAGTCACTGTTCAGCCAGTAATTGACTTCAAGAATTGTTTAAACTTAACTTCAGTAACCTTTTGAGCTCGACAGTATATTGTATGTTATTTTTCTGCAATAGTTTGTTATGAACATCTACTACATAATCCATAAGAAACTTTCTTTCCTTTTATGGGAAGTCAGAATCTGTGTGTGTATACTTTTGACCCTCAAACATTGTGAAAATTATAATACATTAATGGGTTTGGAACATTTGAATTAGCTTGCCTTAGCATACTTTTCATTCATGTGTACTTGATACCCTTTGGTATAATTCACTTCTGGCCCTGGTTGTTCAAAGGTTAGATAATGCTATCCACTGGATAAATTGCTATCTGGTGGATAGCTCAGTACATTTTCTTAACAGTTTTCTGCTAGATAGTGATTTATCTGTTCGATAGCATTATCCACTTTTTGAACAACTGGGTCCTGAAGGCTATATTTCTCTGGCAGAATGTTCCCAAACCTCACAGGTCATGGTTGTTGGTGTTAATATCACTAAGGTCAATTTTCTACACAAAGTGAAACCTAACTAAGGGGCAAACATTAGATATGTCATTGATTAATAACTTAGCCCAAAGAGTGTGGAGAGAAGGAATTTTTATGTTTCTCCTTTTCTTTAATTTGGGTGGTTATGCATTAAATATTCAACCACATGTTATGTATTATAATCTACTTTTGACATTCCAGTTTTAATTTTTTTTTTGTTAAAAACTTGGCTCAACAGCAAAATAAGAACTCTAACACCCCCCTTTTTTTTTACACAGTTAAGTTACCTCAATTGAGATTAGCCATGTTTTCTTTTCTTAATGATGCCTCAGAAAGTTCTGGTACTTACTGAATTATTTTCTTTTTTTCCACAGTCAGGGTGTGTGCCATCTAGTGCTTGTAGTTATTGTGTGATAGTTATTTGGTTCTGGCTACAACATGGATGCACTGAAAAGAAAGGCTAAAGAAACTCAAGAGGACATCAAACGGGCAGAGAACAAATATAAAGACCTGATACGCCTCCTCAGACAAGCAGAGGAAAGGGCTAGTCTGGCTGATGATGAAGTGGAGGTACTTAAGCAAAGGATCCAAAATAAAAAGGAGGAATTGGCAAACAGCTACAGGCAACTCAAGGAAAAGCAACAAGGTCACCAAGCCACAGAAGAGATTGCAGAAGAGAGCGAAAAGATCAGAAAGTCTCTTGAATCTAAAGAATTTGAAGTCAGTGATGTTCTTGTCATGCTTGAGATAAAGGTTAGAGATAAAAAGAGACAAGCTGATGAAGCTGAGGAGCGTTTGGCTGAGGCAAAGGTCAGGTACAGTTGCATGAAGTCTGAACTGAGTGAGCTTCTTGCAAGGTTGAATACAGCTGAATCCAAGATTGTCAAGCTCAGCGAAGAATCTGATTCTACCACTGTAAGACTCATTAATTTAGAATCAAAGCACAGGCGATACTCTAAACGTGAAGAATACTTTGAAGACAAGGTTGAGACCACAGAGCAACAAATCAGGAATTTGGAAACAGAGGCCATCGCTAATGAAGCTGAGATCAAGATTCTAGTGGTTCAACGGGACAGATTGAAACGTAAGAACCACATATACCATTTAGTGCACACTCTGATTACTTTACATTATGGGTGAAGAAGTAATGGTTAGATTTCCATGCTGATCTCATTGTCTTGGAAAAAAGGGCTGAAACAGGCAGTTAGCTGTTTTCAGTAGTTTTGAGTTTTGGTTTAAAGCTTAAGACAGAAGTTTCTTCCACCCATAGAAATGGAAAGAGACTTCTGCATAACTTAGGGCAAACCAGGTGTCATTGTTTCTTTTTGTCTCTGTTTACAAGTCTGTTGGTTTTTCATTTCAGAACAAGTGAACTCATGGAAAAAGCGAGTAGCAAATCTGTCAAGGGAACTAGAAGATGTGAAAGCAGATCTTAACTATTGATTGGTGACCAGTCAGCCATCACAAGCAACTTGCCAATTAAATGTGGATTATCTTTGGGAAAGGAAGATTGTATTTGTAATATATTAGAATGAATACCCTAGTGCTACAAGAATGTCAGGGATTGGGTAGTGAGCAGCTACATAAATGTAGAGTTTGTTTTGTGAGAACCTGTCTTAGGAATAATGCAAGGGATTTCTAAGAGCAATGCTGCAATAGTCTTTTTTTTAATAATGGATTCTTGAGAGTATTCATTTTAGATGATTATTCTCTGTGTACAAATAGATTTTTCTTCTGATCTTTTAAAAGAGAGCACAAAATCAATGGATGTTCATACATTGAATTGATTCGTGGTTCTCTACATGTTATTTGTGGATTTTCTTTTCCCACTTATCTAAAGTTAGGAAGCTTCTGACTGGCAGGCCCATATTACTAGCAAATAACACTTATATCCCAATCAGTTAACAAGACAGAAAAAACCTTTATCAAAGGTCATCTTTTAAAGTAGTTCTTTATAATTTAGTTAGGAAGAGTTACTTTCTGGTTAAAAAAGAATACTAATAATATCATTTATTTGTTCTCAGAAATTACTCTGACCATTCATCTTTTTATTGAATGAACTCCAGTTATCCACAATTATGTTAGCCTGGACAACAGTTGCTGTGTAGGAAATGAGCCCTGGTATACTCTCCTACTGATAGAGATCAATTAGTGAATGATAAGTAAAGTCTTTGCATTAAATAAGGTTGATCCTTTAGCCAGTGAAATTAAGTCATAAAGTATGACTCCTGCCCAACAGCCTTTTAATTCTGTCATAGAGGCTGACACATTTACAGATAAGCTAAACCTCTTGTAGGTTGGCTCTTATGAGGTGTTCTTTAATTTTTTTCCTCCTCAGGCTCATAGGGTTAATTCCTACAATAGTTTCAAAGGGAAATAAAGAGCCATTCATATCAAGTCAGAATGGTGCATAATTTGAATATGTTAATCTTAATGTTGGGCAAAATTTTTTATCTTTAGCAATGAAACTAGGATACTAAGCTTCATGAGTTGATTGGTTTTTAGGTTAGCTGTGAGAAATTTAGTCCTTTTTCTCTGCACCCACCATTTATGTTTCTCTGTTTATTAAAGTGGATTTAGTCTTTTTTTTAACAAATTTGTTTTGAATAGTACTCAAAACTGAAGACATTGTCACTTTTGAATTGGTGATGTTTGTAGTGTATATACACTTTATTAACCCTTAAACTCCCAAGATCTCATTGGTAATTCTCCTTACTGTCTGCCCTACAGTTCTTGTGATGTTAGTTTTGAGAATTTGGTATTGTCTCAACTAATAATCCCCTAACTGATATTTTTCTTTATTCTCATCACTTGTCTGCTTGGTATTGTATTGATATTGTGAAGAGAAATTCTTTCTTGGTCACTTATGGGAGTTAAAGGGTTAAACTATAACTTTGGTTTTTTGTGTGAAGAAAATCAAATGAGGCTGCTAGTAAGTATTGATAGTCTTTTATTGGTAAATTTTAGAAGCAATAAAGTTCCCAAATACATAATGGTATTTGTTGTTTCTTAACCAATTTTAAACAGTGGTGTGCAATTGGTGGTAGCAATTATTAGTGATAAATAATTTACTTGACTTCATTTAATTGTAAGTTCTGTCATACTTATTCTTGCAATTTTTTTTTTCATTTTCTTCCACAAAATTGATATTTGCATAAACTACCCCATGTTAGTAACACTTCCTGGAATTGCAAGAGTAATCTTCATAGTCATCACCTAGTTTGCAGATAGATAGATGTCCATTGCCCCACACACAGATATTTGCACCCTTAAATGATTTTGATGAATTTGAAATGCACACCATTCATACGTAAAAATAAAAGAAGAGAAACCCAAACCCTTCATGTTGGTGACCTATGGCCTTTACTTCATCAGTCAAGCCTATGTCCTGTTGCCGCTCCCATAGATATTGAATGAATGAAATTCCTTTGTCCCAGAGAGTAAACAAAGTTTACATATGCTCAGCGAACTTGGTGACATCGCTGTTACAAGCTTTTACTACATCCATTTAGAAATCAATAATGATCATCCTAATCTGATTAGCTTTCATTGGTACGATTTATTCACGAAACGCACCATTTTTGAGCGGAATCGCATCTTTTTCCCAGCGAACGCGAAAGCTTTACCAAGATACAACAACCAACCAGATTTCGAGGCTAGTTCAGGAACCAATCAAATTTCAGAAAAAATGAAAAACGACTTACGTAACCTACAAACCTGCTCTTTAATGGATCAATGAAATATTTGCATAGACGAAAGAAATCCTTTATCTGAGCGACTGAATTTTGCGATTTCAAAATGGTTGTAATAAAATGGTAATTAAAATGAATAGAGTGCAGTTTCTGCTTTTTTCTTTTTGCTAGGATTATGTTTGGCACGGAAGAAAACCAACCTCCTTATTTGACCGAAACTATTTCAAATAATTTAAAAGTCACCAATATAATTTCAGGAAATATAGTAAATCCTTCCCGCCTACCTTACCGTAATACCCAGGCCTCACAACAATTTGGTAAAGAGTCAACTCTATAACTTTGGTTATCTCTTTTCTGATTGGTGAGCAGCGATGGTTAAAATTGCTTGTGTTCGTCACTAATAGACTTAGTAATGAATTGAATCTATCTGTTCTAGCACAGTCACTATCTGCTGCTCGAACGGCGTTAGGAGTTTCCTCTTCTTAAAAACATCGCAGAACTGCAACCTTCAGTCAAATAAAAAATTACGTGAGCGCATCAAGTGCTCATAGGGACCCATACGAAATATCCATACACCGTGTACCTCTCTGTTTGACTCGACACATAATTACTTTGAAATTATTTGGTTTCTTTAATTGTTTATGACGTAGATTAATGCGGAGAAAATTGCAGACATTGCATTGGTTCCCAGTCATCTTGGCCGGAGCGCAAAAGACTGAAAAAGATCGCCAACAGATTCCAAATGGGCCACCTCCTCCTTTCTCCAAGATCTTACACACGCCCACTGTGAACGGACGTTGACTTACTAAGCGCACGCTACTGCAGCGTGTACGCGAGGATAATTCATGCATGGTGCATTTGCTGTCGTGTAATCAGCAAACTTCAGATTCAACTTTTTCACAGAATTCGTATCTCTATTGTGGGTGTCGTGACCACCGATGATAAAAAGCTCTTGCGCACCCTCCTCTCCACCCAACACCACAGCGGCTCCTGCTCCGCTGCGCGGATCCATCGTGTTGCGGATTATCAGCCATAAATTTAAGTCAGGATTGTATTTCTCTATGGAATCTAGGATTCCAACACTGTTACTGCCCCCCACAACGTAAATACGATCACTGAATGTCACCACAGCGTGATTCATCCGGGACTTGTTCATACTGCTCATATCGGACCACTTATTTGTCATTGGATCATAACATTCGACATGTTCGATTTCGGAAATCCCACAGAACCCGCCAACGGCGTACAGGCGCCCATGCAGAGGTGCCATTCCAAAGTGGCTCCTAGGAAGGCGCATATTGGCTACCTGAGTCCATTCGTTCTTGATCGGGTCGTAACGCTCTACGCTCTTGAGAGCGGAACCATTGTGTGATCCTCCAGCAGCATACAGCCAACCCTCCAGAACGGACACTGCTAAAGAACCTGAGATTGAAGAAACAAACAACGGTATAAACATGACTATTTTTCTACTGAAGTTCTTGGTATTAATTTCTTAGGATCAAAGTGATAGATAGGTAAAGTTGCCGACTTTCGCTTTGACTGAGTTCCGCGTAAGACCAAAATCAACGATATGGCATCAGCCAATCAGATGAAAGGAAAATAACACAAAGAGCCAAAGAAAACATTCAGAGTGAATACAAGCAAATTAGTGGGAATACGGAAAATTACGACTGACCGAGTTGCAATTGGTTGAAATTTTGTGGATAGGATGGCACGAACTTTCTAAACCTATCACCAAGCGACGAAAGCCAAAGCTAATTTAAACTGATACACTATAATGCCTCTAGCATTCGTTAATCACCTTTGCATTTATTGAGTGACGCAACAGATGTCCATTGCCCCACACAGGGATTATAACTTTCGACGGTCACCAGGTCAGCGTATTCTCTGTTAATTCCTCCAACAGCATACAATTGGCCATCAAGTATCACTGAGCCAGCAAACTTTCGTGGAATGATCATGGGTGCAATGACGCGCCATTTCTTCTCGTTGAAGTCAAAATACTCCACATTGTTTAGGACTTTGCGGTTTTCTGAGAACGTGAAATGTAAGAATGTGGGGTGAAGTCCAGTTTTAAGTGACTAAAGGATTAGGAAACTTAATAGCCGTAGCCTCATACTTCACTCGAAAAAGTCTCATTTTTCAAATTGGTTGTTTTACTATTGCCCACCACATCTACTTTTTTCATCTCTCCTTCTTGCTTTCTTGCTGCACATCCACCTAAGCGTGAAAGGTTGTACATGCATAGCGCTATTACACAAAAATCTTGGTGTAACCTCGACCCTTAACCGGCGCTGAGCAAGGAGTAACGTCAGCACCGGGAGAAAGGTGGCTTAGCCTAAGTTTTGCGTGGTACGAAACGTGTCTGGACCGAGAATTTCAACCTACTTTTCGTGAGTACAGTTGACATGAACGGCAGAATGGCAGAAATTTGAAATCACAAATAACAGTTATTGTATTTCATCAAGTTCTAAATTAAGTAAGGCATTACGCATGCCATACTACCTGGCTGGAATCTACTCATTTTCGGTTATGAATTTTGATCCTTCTTGAAGACAATAAAATACAAAGCCCTTTGACGTCATGAATAAGTAAGTCGATACAGACTTTCTTTTTTAGACGAGTTTATTTTTAATTTTTGATCACCTCCCCTGCGATTTTCAATGTAAAATATCGAATATTGCGATGATGATTCTTCTATAGACTCTCCATCATCACAAGTGTCAATTCTACTTTATTAATTAGTGGTTCCATCTAAATCGGTTATCTACGTCAAACCCATTTCTACCCCTCAGCCGCTTCTTTCTTCAATTTTTCTTCTTTAGAGAACTCATTGTTGGTATATTCGAGGTGTATTTTGCATGCACTATGACGGGGCCTTATTCAGGATACGGTTTTGGCATTTCTACAACCACAACAGCGATATTTGACTTGGTTTATGGTCTTTAAAAACAATCTTTATCTATTCAACACGGCCAAGAGAGTAATGGACTTTAGCCCTTTTGTTTTTATTTTTGTTTGTTTTTGTTTTTTCGGTTTTTCATTTCTTATCCTAATAAAAATAATCAAAGGTTGCAGATTTACGTCTTATGCTTCAAAATCCTTCTTTACAACATAAGACGCTCAAATCTTACACTATATCATCCATGTTTCAGCAAGCTTCTTAAAATTCCTAACATGAGGCGAGGTTAGAGGTTATATCACATGAACCTTACGGCCCTAACTGCACTTTTATTGAAAAGTATTAGGCAAAAATCCTCGATCGTATGAGAGTCGTACAGTCCCGCGAGTTGCGAGCTAAAAGAAGGAGGGGAAAATTAAAGGGAAGATCGACAGTAATGTGAATGTGATAGGATGTTTATTGACTGAGTAAGGTTGACTGAGCCGGACGGGAAAATATTTGGATCCACAACGCACAGACCTCGCTGTACGTTATTACCCCCCAGTGCCAAGCGAAAATAATGTCCAAATATTTTCTCTTGCCTCAGCCAAATATTTTCCTATCCGGCCCTCCCATTCAGTTAATAAGTACATATGACATCAATCATGGAATTCTGCGCTCCTTCTCTTTGCGTTTTCAGGCGCCTTCGAGGCATTAGAAAATATACATTAAATCGAGAGAAAGAGACCAAATAACGATGATAATTATAACAGTAATGGAAATGATAATTGGTATAATACATTAAGGAAAAAGGAGAAGAAGAAGAAGTAGAAGAATAGAAGGAAACCTCGAAATGATAGAACAAGGTTGGTTTAAGGGATAGCGATTTTTAACATGAGTGCATGCGAATGACGAACTTGAAATGTGAGCCGTGACGTGACGAAGTCACGTTAATTAAACTTTGTTTGTTTGGTGGCTTGACCTTTCGATGGAGAGTCTTATTATCCCATCTAGAGCCAAGGT